TTTTTTTTTTTTTTTTTTCGTTTAAGCGGACTATTTTATATCATAATTAATCATCCCATCAGTGGGTCGTGTTCCCCGCGAAAAAAAAAAAACAAAAAACAAAACCAACACAAAACCGCCACCCTTGTGATCGGAGACCTTCACATAAAATTATACAATAATTGAAGCAATAAAAAAAGCAAAATAGCAGTTGCGGTATACTGTATTTAAATATATATTTATTATATTTCATAAGGAGTTATTGTTTCGGGAGCCACGGGGTTGTTATTAAGTCAGTAACTATGAGCGCGCTCATTTGCATGGCCGTGTTTCACAGCCGTAAAAATTTACGAGTGCTTGGAAAGGTTAAATTATACTATTGTGTTTAGTTTGGGAACTCACTGTAAATAATCCCGATCCGTTCGGCTCAGGAGCTGGCAGCTTAAAGTCAAATTCAACGTATCCCCTTTCCCAAACCGCGCCGCCGAGCCGGCCCTCCCCGCCCGGCCGGAGGAGGACCGGGGCAGGCTCTGGCTCCTTATTTAGGCTTGGCCCGCACCAAACTGCACTTCACCACCCGGGCAGAGCGCGGCAGTGACCGAAACACCCTCCTCTTCCTCCCCGCACCGCCTGCCCGCTCTGCCCCTGCCCTTGGACGGGGCCGCGGCCGCCGGGGACCCCCCCTCGCCGGGCCGGGGAGAGGAACCGGGGCCGGGAGCGGCGGCGACCGGAGCTCCGGAGAGGAACGGAGCCGGGCAGAGCCGGGCGGCGGTATTTATCACCACGATTAAGTCTTTAACTCTGCGGGCGAGCGGCGGGGGGAAAGGGGAAGAAAAGCCCCGTCTCCCCACTGCCGAAAGGCACCCCGCTCTCAAAGAGGGGCTCGCAGGCGGCCGCCCCGCGTTCTGCTGAATCAAATTTATGTGCCAATATAGTTATTTATTTGCTGGCACCTCCGTTGCCTGCTAGCGGCATCGCAAACCGAGCGGAGGGTTACAGTTCTCCGCAGAAAGAGGGGAGGGTGCGCGGAGAGGAGGAGAGGAGGGGGGAGGAAAGTAAGAGGCGGCCAGATCCAAGTCCAGTGTTAGGAATTAAAGTCGTGGCCGAGCGCTTTAGCAAATATGCCTGGGACTCCCTGATTTTTCTTCTTTTTTTTTTTTTTTTTTTTTTTTCCCCCTCTGGCGAACGCTCACGCCGTTTATCCCCGCGGTTGGCGCAGGAGCGCGGTCCATGGGATGCAAGGGGCACCAAAAAATATCCGCGAGAGTGTCAATTTACTCGAAATATCTTTTATTGAAAATAGAGCCCAGAAAATGGTAGGGACGGCGAAGAAATAATTAAAATCACGTGTAAATATTGTGCATGCGAAAGTGTGGTTCTAATTAGTTTTACATCGCTATGTGGGCTGTCTCGCTCCCTCTCTCTCCTTCTCTCTCTTTTTTTTTTTTCTTTTCATGTCTTCCCAACGGTTTAATCCGAAATCTTACAGAGATCCTATTTTAACAACGCTCTCTCCCCCATTCAGAATTACAAAGGCCCATAATGAAACTATTATCCCCCATTAAAGTTCGAAAATTACGGAACAGTTGCAAGATCTCCGCAAACAAGGAGCCCGTTATTTTCTAACAATTTAAAAAATGCAAATAAAGCTCTCCTCTGCTATTTTTTGTGGCCATTGTATAGACACGCCGTAATAGAAAAAAATAATTGTATTTCTTTCCTGGAAAGACGGAACTCGACGTCATTTGTATTTATTATTAAGAGTCAGCTGTGGTGAAATGTGATTGTAGAACTTCCTTTTTCCATTCAGAAAAAATAATCTTAGCGGCAGGAGTCCTGGATGTTTATATTCGAATTTGGGTTCTCAACTTGCAGCGGGTTTCATTTTTTTGGTTCCTCACCAAAAATAATAGCAAATGAATAACAATAACAATAACGTTTAAGAGAAGGCGCCTGCATTTTTATTTCCCTGTAAAATTCTGCATTTGTTCACTGCCGGCAGCCAAGCGGCAGGAGAGGGTGTGCAGAAAGCAAGAGATAAAATATAGCAAATAATTACAGGCATTTTTCACGCGGCCACGTTGCTGATTACAACGCTGGAGCGTTCGCCCTCTCTTTTCGTCCTTTTACACCCATTTTTCCCCAAAGTACTTTTTTTGCATACGAGCCACGAGGGCTACTGGAGGCAGCTCGGGCTGCCTTACAATTTGCGTTGCAAATTACTTAAGGTTTTTGTAGTTTTTTACACCCTTACACCCCAAACCGGGCAAAAACAGACCTTCACATCAAATTGTGAGATGAAATCGGAATTCCCAGGAACGAGGCACCGCAGGAGCGATCGTGCCTGAATAAAAATCCTCCCTGCCCTCCCCGCCGGTACAGCCCAATTAGCAGAGCTCCCATTCTCCAGCTCTTATCCCCGGCTGCAACTGGAAGGCCCCGTCGTTTTTTAAGCGGGGGAGGGAGGGGAGCATCGGCAAGCCCTGCTTCCTTAGCCACGCACTGCGGAGACGCGCGGAGCGTACGCGAGCGCGGAGCAGGAATCCGCGGGGGCTGGCGGTCTCTCCCCTGAACGGGAAGTTCAGGATCGCCTTTTCCCAGGGCTTCCTGCCACTGCAAACCTCTCTCACGGAATCGCCGGGGCTCCCAATCCACGGAGGTGGGGTTTTTTTTTGGCACAGCGGAGAGAAAAAAATCAGAATTTTGCGGGGAGCGGTCCAAAAATCAGGACCATGCGATTCAAATGGGAAATAAAGGGCAGAAGCAAACCAACGTACGAACGCCAGAGAAGCACACCCAGGCAAACAGAGGGTAATACACTTCCCCGCATGTCCACAGCCCCCGCAGACAGCCCGTCAGGAGCACGGCGTGTCTAGAGGCAGCCACAAGCACTTAAATTTGACTGCACCGCGGAGCTCTGCTCCTGCCCCAGCCGGGGACGCCTCCTTCGCTAAAGAAACCGCTTAGGATCAGTCGAGCTAAAAATCCACTAACCGACCTCCTCCGGGTTCCTGCACCCCGGCCTGGAGTTTCGGAAAAGTTTGTAGTTTGGGTTTTTTTTTTTTTAATTATTTTTTTTAGGCAAAAAGAATCACGGTTGCTTAAAAAAGGAATATTAATAGAAATAAAGCCCCCAATGAATGAGATTTCTGCCCTTTCCCGTGCCTGCCTTTCGGCTGGCGGGGCGGAGGGCCCGGCGGGAGGCTGCCCCTGCCCGCGGTCGCGTTGCGGACAACAAAAGACGGCGGCGGCGGTGGCGGTGGGCCCGGAGAGGTCGCTGTTGCCCGTTCCGCCGCTGCGGAGGGCGGCCGCGCCCGCGCCGCAATCGTGATCGTAACCGAGGCCTTGCGGGGCGGCCCCCGGGGGAGCGGGCCCGACGGGCGGCCACGCGGGGCTGGCGGAGCCCTGCCAC